GCTGCTCTACCGCTGATGTGCTTTCCTGTGTGCTGCTTTTATTACTGCTTACAAAATACCAGCTGTCCGTGCAGTTTTAAACCTTGTCTGCTGAGGAAAGTAAACCACTTGAGAGGGAGTCAGCAAAAATATCCTATAGGTTTCTGTTTTTAAAATTGTTTGACTTGCTTGATTTCCATATAATTTATCTACAAGAGCCGATTTATGCAAGACTATCCAGTTACAGAACTGCCAAGGCTATGAGAGAACGCAGCCAGCAGAGCCTTGGTGGACATATCCTGTATGTAGGGTTATTCAGATATCCAGGAATGCTGCACAGGGCTAAGTACAGCCGATTCAGGAATGATTCTATAACATCCCTAGATGAAGGTACGCAAAATACATCCTTAAACATCAAAGGTTCCTCCTCCTCTTCCCATTCTTCAACACCTAATTTACTGACAGAAGATGTCTCCTTGGGGCCACAGGACACCTGCAGCACCCTGTGCACGCTGATCCCCCGGATGGCTAACATTAAACTTGCCAACCCATCGAATCTGCCGGGGCTGAAAAGCTTCTGCTTGGGAACGAAAGAGGTGCCAAGAATTAAACTCACGGAGTGCGTTACCATCCCGAGCAGCCCAACCTCGCCTGAGATCAGCTGCCTCTCAGCTTCTTATCCACAGCCTGATCTGGACAAGCTGGCCTTAACCCCAAAGCTGGTGGGCGACTGTGCTGTGCGGGGAGCTGAGGAGGCCGCTCCTGCGGGCAGGCAGGACAGGAGCCTCCCACACAGCGGTGAAAATGTGGGGGAGCCGGGGACGACCTACGGCCTGCGGGTGAGTACTTGTTACAGGGTTTCCATTCTCTGACAAAGCAAACCACATAGGTGGCTGCAGGGTGATTGCTGTGTTCCCATTCCTGGAGCCGGTGCCCCCAAACCACTGACTTATCCCATATATTTCGCGTCTCCTGACGTACATAGGGCTGTGGTGTCAAACTGAGGGAGTTAAAAGGACCACAGCTGTTCCCAGAAATAACACAACATCCGTTTCCAAAAGACTATCTCTAGAGTCTCTGAGGAGTGCAGCTGAGCTGCAATTCAAACAGGGGTTGCTCTGGCCTGAAATGCAGGTTGGAGGGAGAAGGAGGCCGACTAAAAGGGCTTCGCATCCCTCACAGAGCAGCTCCCAAGCACTAGGTGCAAGCTGGCCCATGCTGCTGACATGCTTGTCACAGAGGGCGTGGGAGAGATGCTGGGACCGCTGCTGCTGCCCGGAGCACCTCTCCCCGTGCCTCCCGCCCTGGGTGGTGAGCGGGTAGGATGCAAAAGCTGTCCTCCTCCTTTGATGCTAACAGGTCTGTGTCTGATTTTCTTGGTAAAGATGCTGTACAGAAAACCCTGCTTATTTCTTCAGAAGACACCCTGAAATAGCCTGTCAGGATATTTTTCATGTTTTGGTGGGTGGGTTGGTGTGTATCGTCTTCTAATTAGCAGCAGAACACCATGCCTCCTGGGCTCGGTGCCTTCACTCCCTCCACCTCTGCCACACTTGGGAGCTTTCTAATTTTCTTTTCCTCTCTAGACTTTACATTTCTGTGGCCAGATGTCACCATTTGCTAGCCGTTGCTTCCTTCTCTATGCTCTGAACCTCTAACCCTGTACATTTTAGTGCTTATGCAAAAACTGCCTGCTGCTTGCATCGGAAGGAACCAGTGCAGACCACAGGGAAATGTCAGAGAAAGCAATCTAAACATGCTTCGGAAATACTCATGTAATGGCCAACGGCTCCTGTAGCTCTCGCAGCCCTGACGTGCCTGTCCCTGACGTGCAAGGAGCAAGCTTTACAAGGGGTTATTAACCAGCATCTATTCCTCCTGGTGGGCTGCAGGCAGGATGCTAGGAGCGTGTGTGTGTGTCTAAGCTCTCAGTTTGGTGTACAGGAGGTATCAAAATGTGCCCTAAGGAGTAAAAAAGCCGTAAGCCATGCAAAATTTGTGTCTCCGATGTGATGTTTTGCAAGCAGGAAAGTCTAAAGAAAGGTGCAAGGCCAAGAAAAATCCATCAATCCTTTTCCAAATGCAGCAGGAGGGCAGGTGGGTCAGAGGGGAGAGGAGCAACAAGGGGAAATAGCCACGTTCACCTTTCCCCAAGCAGGAACGAGTCGCCTGCCTGGCGTCCAGCAGCGGTGCCACAGCTGGTTGGATGGGATGGTGGCTGAAAGGTGATGGCGTCCCAGCACGGCACTGGCCGCTGTGAGCAGAGCTGCAGGAGGCCCCAGGACGTTCTCCCAGGGTGCAGCAGGTGGAGGGAGGGGACATGCTATTTCATCACGTTGAACAGTTGAGGTTTTGATACCAGCAAGCTGCTCAGATAGATGAATGAGCATGTAGAGTGTGACTTACAGTGACAGGGCACGGGCCACCGCTGCTCCAGGTGCTACGCTTTCAGCCAGCCCAGCGGAAAGGCCTGCGCTGGTGGATGGCGTCGTGATGCCCAGCGCCTGCCGCGCGGGACCTGCCTCGTCTGCTGCGGTTTGAGCAGCGCCCCGTGCGGCAGAGCTCGTGATTAAGGCTTTGAGGTACCTGTAGAGATTGAAATACTGAAATGCTAATGACAGAGGCAAACTTAAAGAATTCAGCTTCTGAGATGGGGAGGAGACGATGAAGCACAGGGGGAATTTCCTGGGTTTCTGTTGTGGCCCAGGGTTGAGAGCAGAGGCACCGAGGTGTCACCCGCTGGGGAGCACATGAGCAAGAAAGTCAGAGAGCAAAGAACGAACAACTTGACAGAAAGGTTACGTGAAGCAGGGAAGCGCTCGCCCCCTCCTGCTGCTCCCCAGGTTGTATTTCCAGTATATTTTTCTGCTGGTCCTTCAGGGACCACAAAGCCTCAGGCGGGCTGGGAAGCAGCCGAGGCGCCGGGCTGCAGTGCGGCGGGAGTGTGGCACGGAGGGGTGGTCTCACCCGGAGGCAAAGCGGGGCCGGGAGGCTGAGGGGCTGGGCAGCTGCAGGAGCTGCTCCCAATCCTTACCTCATCCTCCCAATCCTTACCCTCTTTACCCTGGCCCTCGCCCTCCCTCCTGTGGCGTTCGGAGACATCCGCTGTCCCCACGCAGCTTCTGGTGCCCTGTTAGGGTACCGGATCATTGGGCTCTCCCTAGAGGCCATTTTAGGAGGCAGGTCAGGTCCATGAGGGAGGTCAGGTCCATGTTACGGTGACTCCTGCTGCCGGAGATCTTTGGCCTTAAAAGCTTAATCGGAGTCTGATGAGGATTTGGCATTTACGTGGCGAGGATCTGCAATTACTTTAGAAAGGCAATAAAACGGTGAAGGAATGAAGGGACTTAGGGCAGAAGCTGTCCCCTGTGGACTGGAGCGAGGCTGGAATTGTCTTTCTGGGGTTGCTTTAAGAAGAGGCCATGCCGGGCTCCTGGCGTCTCCCTGGGAGGTGGCTTCGGCTGCGCGTGGCTGGGGGTGACAGGTCACCTGTGTCGTGGCCATGTGTCACCTGGGCTCTGGTGAGGAACCCGAGACCCATAACAGCACCCGTTCCCTCATGCGACCCACAAAGAGCCCAAGTATTACTCTTTTAATAGGAGCCTGGGCAGCTCTGATTCCCACGCTGTTATTTTTCAAAACATGCTTTGTACGCAGTTTGCTGCAGGATTTACAGGGTGGCTATCTACCCCGTCCTTGTTCCTGTTCCGCCCGTTACGTGCCTTCCCACAACACAGCCCTCCGGGAGCTGCGGCTGCCTCTGTACAGCGCCCACAGCGGCCGCGGCACTCGCGTCTCCCACCGGTGTTCGTTACGGCTGCGACGAGGCTGAGGAACATTCCAAGAGGCGCTCGCCGTCCTTGCTCTTGCTCGTCGGGGCATGCCAGGGACGTGGCTGCTCCTCAGCAGGAGGATAAGACACGGCGCTCAGCACTGATCCGCACCAGCGGCCCCTCTCAGACCAGTGAGAACCGGCAAGATGCTGCTACTGGTCCTAACATGGAGTAAGGCTCTGTGGCTGAGCTTCCCTCGATAATGCACGAGTCTTTGGGAGGTGATGTTCACATTAGTAAATAAGTGTGCTACTTAAGTAAAATATGGAAGGGAAACGCTATTGCCAGATATTTTAAAGTATAATAATATTGTAGTGATATAATATGGTACAGGGTATTTGCAGCATCCTTTGTCATAAAGGATGGATATGTTGAAGTTTTACCAATATATAGTTTGGCAGACAGATATAGATATATATATTTATTCAGTTGCTAGTCTCTAGAGTAAAAGGAACTTGACTACTGCTAATGTAGGAGTTCAGACCGGTGTGAAGAATGTCCTGAAAGAGCGCACGG